GTTTCTCTGAGGTCATTGAAACTAATGTGGTGTTTTGAAGGGGGCGGTTAGTTGCGGAATGATTTGAAATGCGTGTTTTATTATCGCAACCTTGAGTTGTGGAAGGCAGATGAGAAGATATCTAGGGTGTACTAACGTTTGAATTTTTCGATCAGAAAACGTAGGGTTCCATGATTTTTAGGTTGGTCTTAATCGGTTAGCTTCGGGTCGATATTGGGACGATGTATATTGTTAGCCTTTTCACGATAAACGGCCGGATATTGGCAAATTAACTGACTGGGAGTTGTGTCGCCGAGAGTAAAAAGAAAACCATTTCACAAAAGTTGTAGCTGATGGGATGAATCGCTGTTGGACAGGATTTTACATTTCATGAGGGAGTGTCACTAACACCCAGAACACACTTAGGTACAATAAGTTCATTCTATCTACGAATTTTATGTTCACTGTGCGCCATAGAGTTATTGGGTTCCGACTAGGTCACATAGTGTATGATGTTCCACCCTTCAATTTAAAATTGAAATAAAGCTCGAAACTACAGGTCTATCAGAGGCTACAATCCTTTTCGCTATCCTCACGAGGACTTTAGTTTGAGAAATTCATTTGGAAGTCTGATAGGACGTGTTTATGTTGAACAGCAGAAAAATAGTGTCACAGGATGAAGTGGATCAATAAATCGGGTGTTCGAAATATTCATACTGTTGTTCGCACAATTGTGTTCGAGCCGTCTTGTTTGAATCAGGTTGACCGGCCTTTGCCTCCAGTCATACTGCTTTGTGATCCCGAGGAAGTAGAACGGAATGCAAGCGACCATAGAAGCACCAATTTACTAAAAAAAAAGAATGGCTCACCGATCTAGCGCCTGGTGAATCCAGTCCAAACCATGAGATTTCTACTGTGGTGGATACGAGGAGTCGTAGTCGGTGATGATTTGTCTTTGCCCAAGAATTAAGCCTGGACAAGTTCGTACATGAGTTAAACACTACTTCATCCGTAAGCAAGACAAGAGGGATGTCCATAACCATATCCTCACGTAAAAAACACAAGTCGCCTTTACGGATCAAACCCTTGTAGATACATCGACTGGAGTTCACCTCACAAACTGTCACATCTAGAAAGATTTTGAAGGACATGATATTTGGCATTATTGAGCTACTCTCTTACTACTCTCTCCTGAACTCTCTCAGATTGTTTGGCTAAACAATGAACCGAGAAGTCATTCGTCCACATGCGATGTCTGCCAATCGAACAGGCTTTCAGTTTCCCAGTCTCAGCACGTACCGGTCTGATAAAAAGTAACAATTAAGAATACGATCATCGCCCCCCCCCCCCGTTGAATTCACACTCACAGTAGAACAGATCAGTACCGGACATCAATAGATAGATCAAAGTGCTCACTCATCATAACCCGTTAAACCCACCAGATGTACCTGGTTGTCCTCGATTGCTATGGAAATGAAAAAGGCACCGTAACTGTCGTATGGCATGATGCGTCTATCGGTCGCATTGACGTGTCCAGTTGTTCAATTAGCTTCGAGATGTTCGAACTTCCCAGCCGGGTGCAACCACTCTTGATTCTGTGTGAACTTAACGGCCAACCGATTCAGTCATGTGATTACGTGATAAAACACGAGGGTTAGTCTGGCCTGAGACACTGATGCGCGCGTGTAGTGTTTGCCCAACGCAACGCATCCGTTGAGCGTTTTCAGCGGCGCGCAACGTATGGCGGGCAAGCTGTCTGCGGAAGTCTGACGCCAGTTTCGAACAATTCAAATTGCATTAAAAAATATGGAATAGCCACTATCCAGGTTAAATTGGGTAAACGGTCTTCATTCGTTAGGTCCGTTGGGCTAGAAGAGAGCGAATTTAGCGACATGGAGGCAAATACTAACTAACTTTATATCATGTTACACTAAAATACTGAAGCTACCTAGACTAAGCATAATGGCAAAACGATGAATATACTTCGGACAGACGTGGAAAATTGACAGCGAAAACGAACGTGAGAAATGGATAGATGCGTCATCGATCATTCATTTCTAATCAATCTGAGAATCGCCCCAGGGTATACTGTATATTCCGGGACTTTCATGAGCAGTGGTACCAACCCAAAAGTGCGATGCAGCAAGGTAACTTTAAATTCGACAGTTACGAAGAACCACGATTATGAGGCCTCCACATGCACATGGAAGGGGCCGCTTACGAGTACTGAGTCACAGCAAACCGTTCAACTAGAAAAGACAAAAACAAACTGACGGGGATAGAGATTTAGCTTGACTTAGCTGATTGGCTCTCCTTCCGCCTTAAATCTCGACCAACCTCGGAACCTAGTCACTTGGCCTGACGAAGCTTTTGTGTCAAAAGCGAAACGTTGTCCATCAATAAATCTACCGATTGTCACTGAACTTTTTCGAAAACTAGCGGGATATTTTTTATGGAAAAACACCCATTTAAGTGAACTGCATTGAAAGAAAAGGCATGTAACAATGAGAAGCGGGGTCCATTCACAGAGGTTGCATTTTGCAGGTGAGTGTTTACAGATGGGAATAAGCCTTGTCGTATTTAATTCCAAATTACCTTTTTCAGTTTGAATATTTAGTAATTAGTAGCAACAGATGCACGGAGTCCAAATCCGGCAGTGATCAAGAATATGTACCAACAATGACCTCTGATAAAAGCGAAACTCGAGTCCAGCGCTTCCCCACTTTGGTGTGAACTCAACAAAATAATTGAGGTAAACGAGAGTTATGTGTGCGTGAATTCTAAAAATTCCGCAACCACCTACAACAAATATGCTACCTCCCAATGGTTTCTACGTGAATGTCGACGCAGTGGATCAATATATGCTCTTTGGCGTCGTCCTTGGACTAACCATCGAACTTCACTGTGTTTGGCATTACTCACTTTTAAACTACAGTATGTTGCCTTTACTGTTTTTTTAAAGCTTGTCCGAACTGCTCACAACCATAGAACGTACAGAAGTGGGAATCTTGTTGCTACAGTTGGTGAGATCCACAAACCGTCCAGTTAGCAGTATTTGTCTCAAAAAGACAGTAGTAATGTTTAATCAGGTGAAAAATACATGGAACTGATAGTGTAGTCATCGTTTTCGAAAGAATTTGGTGACAATCGGTAGATTTATTACTGGGTAACGTTCCGCTTTTCAAGAAATAGCTTTGTCAGGCCAAGTGACTAGGTTCCGAGGTTGGTCGAGATTTAAGACGGAAGGATAACCAATCAGCTAAGGCAAGCCAATTCTCTGTTGGGTGTCGGCCGAGGGATTTTTGTGTGTTTGGGTGGGCGAACAAGTGTTGGGCCGACGGAGAAACCTACATCTGTTTGGGTCAAGCCTAGGATCTAGTACTTTTGGTTCGGTCCATTTGATGGTCCCTTCTAAGCGTCGTTACAACCATCTGTCCCTCTGTGTGGATGAACTAGTGCCAAGATAGCTGTGTAAGAGGGATGTTGTGACCTTTGGTCGGGTTGGGATTTCCACCCCCACCCTCCGGTGTTTGCTAATAATTCTACGTGGAGTGACAACCACACCATCGCGTGTCATCATCACTTTCCATACGCTCGCCAGTCCCACACCCTCGATTCTATTCACGCTGTGATGCTCAGTAATTTCCACCGCCTCGGCTCTCAGCCGCTGTGGTGTGAATCGCAGTCCCCGCCTTAAAACTTCCACATTCTCCAGTCTATTCTATGTCCTGTGTCTAAGGCATGTACAACCACCGGTGAGTCTTTGACCAGCGTTTGGTATTCTTCTGAATTCCTTGGTGGTTTGCTAATCCTTCTTTTATGCTCACAAATTCTGGTGTGCAATTCCCTGGCAGTTTGCAACAAATAGGATAATTCTGCGTTTCTAGCAGAGCTGCTCTTTTCTGTGAGATACTTTCATTGTCGACCGCCTTGTTGTGTGGACCCAATCAGTGCAGACACATCTTCACGACGAGACCCTGTCGGCCTAAAGCTTGTCGCATTAATCTATTCAGAATGGACTTCCGTAAAAAAAACTGATATGGTC